CTGCGATAGAGCGAGTAATTCGCGTCACGTCAGGTCCGCTGCTGTTTCACATTGAACCTAGTCACGGAATGTGGCACTAGATGGTACAGTAGGTGGCCCGATATAGTGGCATGTGGGGCAACAGTAGAACTTGTCACTATTCAGGGCAGTACCACTATTCGATATATCGGGTTCATGTACATGTTGAGATTATGACAAGAGAATTCGATGCCACTATATCGCCACCTCCACCATTCGAGTCGCCAGTATATCGGGCCACCTACTGTATGGAACCACCCGACATGGCACGTATGGCATGTCCCGGCGGTACATGGGACCTCATTGTACCACATCGCCTACAACTTGGTTACCTTTCCCACCCGTCGTCAGAGTCTAGCGCCATGCCTGCACAGAGCAGTTCGGCCGCGAATCTCTCCGCTGCTCTCCGGTAGACCTCTCGCGACGCCGCTTGTGCTTCTGCTCGCTTGGCGGCCCTGATTCCTGTATGAGAGTGCACGAGGAATCGACTCCCTTTATCTTGGCGTTTGATTGTTTGGCAATCGTTCAATACTTGCCCCTGTCAACACTGCCCAGCGCGGTATCCAGCTTTGCTACCCCGTTGCGCCTCTGCCTTGACCCATACCGTCTTAGAACACATCATGCATGCATGGGGCAACGTCGATCGACCAACCATTTTGAACCAACCGGACGTGTTTAACAGGCGAGCCAGCCACAGTAGGAGTGTTAACGCTATCCCGATATATCTATCAATGCGTAATGTCGTCAGCATTGCTGTAGTGGTTTTCGCCTCGTTGGGTTGTCTCGCCCTAAGTGGTCGCATGCATGGGTGCAAGGTGGTCCAGAAAGCAACCGCCGGACACGTTCGAGCAGCGCAAGAACTCCTGAGACGATGAAATATTGGTGCGAAGGGTGTACGCGTTGTTCTCTCAAACCACATCCCCAAGTCCTATCGAGTTTCTCTCTCGCATGCACCGCCGTACCTTCGAGCTATGGAGGTCCTCGAAGAAGTTGTGGCATCGTTCAGAAGTACCGTATTAGTATAAGGGTTCTTACCTCGCTGAATGTCGGCGACGTTAATGAGAGAAAACGCCTGCTGGCTCTCCATCAGGAAGGCAATCATAGACTCCGCCTCCTGCGGCGAAAAAAGCGGCATCTCGTCCCTACTGCTGTCTTCTTGCTTCGGCTGCCCTTGCAAAGCAGCAGCGGTCTTTCGGTCGGCCTGTTTCTCCATCCACGGGGACGGTTCGTTCCCCTCCCCTGCTCCTTCTCCTTTTCCCTCAGAATCACCGTCCCCCGACTCCCCGCCGCCGGCGTTCTCCTCCTCCACGGAGCCAGTCGCATTGTTATTGCCATCGCGGTCGTCATGGATTTTGTCGTCGTCGTCGTCATCGTCTTCGTCGTTGCTGTTGTTGTTGCTTTCAGAGGCAAGACTGCTTCCACGTTGACCTCGAGGGCGAACTTTCGTTCGGCGGTCGCTTTTCCCGAGAACGGTCTTAGCTGTGCGCTCTTGCTTCAAAGCGTGCATCAGTTCCTGGAGGTCGATCTAGGAGGAAGAGTGCGGATCGAAGAAACAAATGGATATTCGATCGGAACATGCGGTTTCGCCCATTCATAGAAAGGAGAGTATGCTCGTCAAACGAGTTTGAGTAGTAATATTGGCGATTTTCGATTTTCACAGTTATTCTTTGTGCAAGCAGGCAGTTCGCTACCCCCCTTCCCCCCCCCATCTCGCGAGAGACTTTCTACCATCTTATGGCATTGCCTCTAGCGACTCACGTTCCCGTCTTGATTGGGGTCGAGGAAATCCACGGCAGAGTTGAGTTGCTCATCGGTCAAGACAAACCCCTTGCCTGTCGTCGCACTGTTTGGGAGAAGCCGAGCACGACAAACAACACAACAGACTCATTAGGTTGGAGGCATGGATCGGCACTATATCGGAGAAAATCGATTATTCTCTGTTCATGGTGGGAGATTCACCACCAAGCAAACGGTCTTTCCCGCGGGAGACACCTTGCATCATTGGCTGAACGATTGGCCACGGACTCGCAATCATGCACTCAAGCCCGCAGAAACACGCATTGCAGGCTACTAAAGAGGATCGCGACACCGCCCTCACTCACTTCTTTGTTGCTTCCACGAGCTTGGCCTTCTGGTCCTTCGCCTCCCGCCGAGCCCGTTCGATCGCCCACCGACCGTACTTCATGACGATAGTCTGAAGCTCTGCCAGAGTCATCTGCAGGTTGCCACGTTGAGGTGAGGAATTCCGCGAGCAAGGACGGATTGGTGGAACAATGGCGTCTACAAGAAACAATGGTCCTCGTATTACGTATCCAGTTACGAGGACAAAATTATGCGAAGTAAGCGAATGCAGTCCTGGACCTGTGTATTTCTGTAACATTCGAAGTCCTCCTTCCGATAAAGCTATGTGTGTACGCGACCAAGGCAGGGGGCATGGAATAAAGACAAATCCGCCTCTCTTCTACCTACTACCATCACGTGGCTTTTGCCTTGATATGTGACAATCGCGTGTGGGCTGATTCCATCCCAAGCACACGAAACCTTCTTTTCCGGTGAAGGACGCATGTGTCATAGATTAGGTGGTGAGCTATCCAGCGTTGTACACCTCGAACTCTACTACTTTATTTGAAATTACGACGGCGAACGTTGTTGGTCGGTTTGCTACAAATCATCATGTTCGACAACCCCAACACACGAGTATCCCGAAAACACACGACCAGCGACTACGCCTATGATGTCCAGAAAAATAATTCGAGCTGCACACACCCTAGCGTGGCCTCCTAGGTACAGGAAGTCCACCAGGTCTTGAATAGCCAGACCATCAAGCGGGCAGCCTCGATCGTCACGCGCACGAGCGAAAGCCTGTAACGCTTCGGACAGACGGGCAAGCGAGAACGTCTCGCCATCGCCCTCACCACCCGCGACGGTGGAATTCCTCTTCCTATCTTCTTGGCCAGAGCCATGTTGCTGCTGCTGTTGCTGCACCTGTGCACCGCTAAATTCTCCCCTTCGGGAGTTCACATTCGCCGACTCCACTGATTTCGAAGTCACTTCTTCATCTGGTTTGTCACCGCCCGCTTCCTCCTCCAATAGGGTGTCGTTGTTAGGAGTATCTTTCTTTTTGTTGTCTTCGGCATCGGCGTTTGTCAGTTGCTGGGCCAAGAACGGCCATGCTTCCTCCCTTTGCCGGTACAGGGAAGCCAATGATTGTTCTGCAGCACCCGTCGGAACAGCGGTGCCCGCGCGCACCGCCATATGCTCTAGCCCCGACGCGTACTGCTCCTTGGTGACGCGGCTGAGAACGATAATGTCAGGCGGATACCGTTCTTGTTAACAAGGTTTGGCGTACAAGTACTCTACTCAAGTCTTCATGCGATCTTTCATCAGGCACTGCTAAACATACGTTTCTGGCACAACAATTGAGCTAGCTGCAAATCGCGGAATGACATGGAACTATGACTTGTCGCCAGGTTGTGAATGTGTTTCGAACTGCAAACACTTATGATGGCAAAGGAGTCTCAAGAACCGTAGGCAGTACGACATCCCGAGAGCACTGAAACAGGAGCCATTTAAAGGTTGATAACTGTGGTAGCTTGTAGCGTTCGTTGGCCCTAGGTTGTCGCCAGCGAACGATGACCGACTTTTAATGATGCACAGCAGCACGAAATCCATTCAAGGTCATAACTGCCTTGGGAGTGCACCCAGCATGTCCCTCCTCTTAGGTTCGGTGGACGCGTTGCTATGAGGACACTGCCTTGACTACAATTGTAAGGAGTTCGGGGTCACGGACACCTGCTGTTGTGCGCCACGTGTACTATGTATGACAGTTATACAGTAGTCTAGTACCCGACTGTTTAAATACCTCTGCAGTGACTTATCTACAGAGGTAGTGTTCACTACAAGCAGCGTAACAGTTGCGTCTCATTCTACGGCACTACCGCACCATACCTTGCGTCAACTCTGAGGGCGGAAAACACTCCTTCAACTGTCCTCCCGTCATGCCGTAGCATCTCATACAGCCTGGCCATCAAAGCCACGGCGTGCCCCTTGCTCATACCCGACTGCTGTCTCTGGCGCTTGCAGCCGCCGCTTAAGCCGCTCTTGTTGTCAGCTCGGAGACCATAGCCCATCGTCAATGTGTACAAGCGCCGCTCGCGTGACGGTAAATCTCTGAACTTGGTAACCGTGAGGCTTTCATCCCGGTCGGCCGTCGCGAACCCAAGCCCGTGCCTGGTGTAGCTCCGGACGAGAGTGTTTCGGCGACCGTAGGGGTACTTCTGTCGTGTGAGCTCTGTCGCCGAGGTGCAAGAAGTAGAAGCTGTAAACACAGGAGAATTTCCTTCTTCCAATCTTCGCTCCTCACCAGTCGAAGGTCTCATTTGCGGTGGTGGTTGAGTATCACAGATCACACTGGCTATGTTTGATCGAACCAACCGGACCGTCGGCGATCAACGGCTTGCGGCGCGCATGGCTTACAATTTTTTTTCAGAGCTTCTCGTGAGATGAGCGCCCCAAACACACATGATCACCTTGATCTATAAGAGAGGAACAGACAGACAGAGGATTGCTCAAAGCAGCAGCAGCAAAGGTGAACACACAACGAGCACGCGACCCATAAAAGGCGACGAAGCGACAACACGCAGTGCATATTTCATCAACCGTCACCTATCTTCCCGCTAGAACCCGAACACACCCAGGGTTCGCTCTCTGATCTTCTGTAGGTTCGGCTGGGCAGACGCAGCAGGCAAGTAGTCCACCTTATTCTGGCGAGAAGGGGATAAGGGATGTCGGGAGAAGTAATCACCATCATCGACGATGAACCTCCACCTTCTTGTGATCCGCGCGGGTGCACCGAGTGTACGTTCAAAAACGATGCCGGTGCTTTCGCCTGTCGGATGTGCGGCAATCATCTCCAACAGCAGCAGCGGCAGCAACTGCAACCGAGAGACGGGTTCACCTGTTGTGCTTGTACGTTCCGCAACGAGAGAGGAGCAACGACATGTTGTGTCTGCGCGACGCCGTTGGTGAACGACGTGGAGATGGGTGGCGGTGAACCACAAGGTGAAGTTCGGCACCCCTGTTCGACTTTTCTGAGGGTGGCATCCGCGATGTGTAGGTACATAAATTGATGAATATTCCAGAACACCGCAGGATGGCCGTATACTGCTGTACGTACAGCAGTAGTACACAGGGACTATGGGACACCTTGTTGGAGTTAATCCACTCGCTCACGACCACCACACAGATAGCGCACGACTGAATCTACAGAGTTCAGGCCGTCCCTCCTCTCTGCAGCGAAGTCGTTGTTTTGATATCAATGGGGGTGCGGGATTTGAAATAATACTGCTGCACGTCTATCAAGATTAGAGGGTTCTGCTATCGCCGTCGTTGATCACTTCCAGTCGTCGTACTAGATTTGGATTAGGCTTCCCGCCCCCGGCTGGTGGCCCTGCTCAAACCTCCGTTATTACGTTTCGCCACCAACCCGGGAGCATCATCACCTCATCCCCGAAACTTCTCTATGTTATCACGATGACTGCGGGTTTAGCCGGCTAGTTGTTGGTGCTCTCCTTGGTCCTTTCCCGCTGTCCCGCGGGGCCGTACGGGGGGCAAATGGGCCGAAGCGTGGTCACCAAACGGTCTGGGTGCAAACACTCATCATCGTCCAAGAGGTGGAAAGTCGCCGAGTGTAAGTAGCAGGGAGGAGATGACGCGGATGTCACGCTTGTCTCTCTACCCCCCATTCGCGGCTTTTCCCACGCCGCAATGCTACCGCCCAACCTCACCCCCCCTCCCCTTCTCTCTCATCCTTTCACAAGCATTGGAGATTAAACGGCACTCGGTAGGACTGGCCAAACTGTTTGATGCCCATTTCAACAAGAAGCTACCAAATGCTCCCAGCAGCGTAAAGCCAAACAGTGAAGCTAGCCAGTCAACAAACGCATCCCGCTCCACTCGCGACCATCGCGCGCACGTGCACCGAATGGAATTCCACTTGTCTGGCCGTCAAGAGCTTGAAGGCGTTCGCAAGACCACCGGGAGCAGCATCGGCGGCAGCTCCTTGGTCCCCACCCGGGCCGAACTGGAAGCCCGAACAGTGGCAGCGGGAGGGGATCACCAATCCACAACCCCTGGTCTCATTCCCCGGATACACGAACGCCTTCTAGGCGAGCACAACGCCCGTGGGAGCGGCAGGGGTGGGGGTGGGCGGGGAAACAGAGCAGCCGACGGAGGACCTACGGGGGTCCGCGAGAGACAGACGTTCATGCGAGGGGGGGAGCGAGGCGGCTGCGACTCGAGCGTCACGAGCGACTTTGCAGGGGGTGGGGGTGGGGCAGCGGCGGCGGAATGGAGGCTGTGCGACCAACGGACGAAGCACTGCACCCAGCGGGGATCGCATGGCTCGGGATTCTCGTGCGGGTATCGGAATATCCAGATGCTTTGCTCTGCGCTCATGGAGTGGCCGGAGTACAAGAGGTCAGGCACGGTGGTGTCGCAGAGCCACCGATTTGTTTGAAAAGTCGTGTTGCATCCGAAGTTGGCCGTGAGGCCTTACCTGTAGCTTCTCACCGAATTTGACAATAAATCTGGGTTGCAACGATGGTTTTTTGCCGTGATGATGCCAAGCCAATGGTGTCATGTTCTGGACGATACATGTGGCATCACGTGTACGTGAGACTTTGCCACGTGTGTTGTGTATTCTGGACGGGACGCCTGTGTGCCTGAACAACCTGGGGTGGAAATTGTATCGAAGAAACCGAAAGCACGTTACTATCGGTCGCTAGGAGATACGATACAAGGGTTCCAGAGACACGATACGCGACAGCTTCTACTGACACGAAAGGGTTCGTTAACCATGCTAGAGACGCGTTTTCTTGTGTCTCGCGTAAACGTTGACGTTGTGCGTTCGCACATCGGTTCGTATCAACAAATTCTTGGCCCGCATTAATGATTATATACTTCATCTCGGTTCGATTGTAATGTTGGCTATAATTGGCTGTAACTCCCGAATCACCGTTTGATTCATGCCCCCGCTGTTACATCTGTCATCCTTTCTTCGCACCTACACCATCGTCCCTTCACACACTGGCCTCCAATCCCGTTCTCCCCCTAGGGTCCTGTTCGGAGGTAGCGGGTGCATTCCCGGCGTCGCGCTGCTGCAGTGTTGGATAGAGCGGGCTTGGGCGGACGGGTACGACCCAGATGGGTGTGCGCAGCTCGGGGGGCCGGGGGCGCTGATGGGCAGTGAGACCTGGATCGGTGCGACGGAGTGTGCCACCCTTCTCAGGCAAGCATGTACTACTTACTCTGTCCTTGGGTTCCGTGCTGCTCTTCGTGTAAATCCCCCCGCGCCTGTTTGTGTGGATTTTCTTTGCACAAACCTCGCAAGTGCAAGTTGAGTGTTTTACCTGCTAGGCTGCAGATTGGTTTTCTGCACATACATCGGGCTCGATGGCTTGTGCATGTTATATTCTGACGGCAGCGAGAGAGAGAGAGGGAGAGAGAGAGAGAGAGAGAGAGAGAGAGAGAGAGAGAGAGAGAGAGAGATACAGACAGACAGACAGACAGACAGACAGAGTGGAAACGGCAGGTCAACGCTCAACCTACTCTAGATCGTCTCCGTAGCGCTCCCATCTAGACCCCCCTTCCCAAAGACTACAAGGGCTGCGTTATGGTGCTTCCTGTGCTGCCTGTTACGCGTCTTGGAGCCCTCTCTGCGCAGTTGTCTAATTGTGCCCTGATCACGACCCTCCCTTCTCTCCCCGAGCACCCACGGTATTGTTATTTCACGGAGTCAGCCTCTTTTTGAACGCGCCCCAAGCGCCGCACGCTTGCACTCTAAAGCACATCACATATGTTCCTGCGTAGAGTCATGGGCCCTTGGCTACAGTAAGACGCGCACGCACGCGTTACATTGTGTCTTTTCGGCCTGATTCTCTTTGCACATATTGCTCGTTTTGCAACATTGCCTGACACTCTCCCCTATCACAAGGAAAACCACCACTTATTTCACTCTGTTGATGTCTTTGGTCGGTCACCTTCACGCCTTGCCTCGTTCTCTTAGCATATCTGGTAGACTTACGGCATGCCATCATTCTGCACTTTTCCTCTTGTGTGCCTCTTTGTTTTTGTTTCATGGGTCACGAGAACAGGTCTTTCGGGGTGAAGGCAGAAGTCATCGACGTCGAATCGAGCGCCCCGTTTGCTCCAGCCGTCGCTGAGGAGGCGTCGTCTGCCCAAGAAGAAGAAGAACGAGGAAGCAAGCGCAAGACGCCCAGCTCCGCCCCCCGGTCACCTCTGTCTCTCCACCCCAATGGCTCTACATCCTCTCGTGCGTGGCCGCTAGGGTCATCATCGCTCGACGCATATCCCTCCTCCAACGGGGGGAGGGTCACCCAGGTCTCCGTTGCTCAAGAGCCGGTGCAACAGAGTATCCGGTCTTTCTTGCCCTCTTCCTTCCCGCCCTCTTCTACTCCCAGAGACCGCGGCGCGGTGAGAAGCTCGACCCAACCCGGAGGCGCGATCAGCGGCATCGGTGGTGGTTTGGGGGGACAACATGGATGGAGGTGGCCGGGAGCCGGACAACGGCTTGGGAACGGTAGCAGAGGCAGAGGTAGAGACGCGGCAGGGCGGGACGGTTTCCTGTCTGATGGTGGCGGGCGGGGCGGGCGAGGGTGGCGGGGCGGGAGGGGTGGGCGAGGCGGGAGGGG